TCTTCCCTTGTGTGGGAGAGTTCTAGTGCTGGGCTGCATGGACACCAGCTCTGATAGGGCTGGTCCTGGTTTCAAGGTAAATTCCTACCACCTGCTCCCAGCAGCAGTGCCAACCAAATTTCAGTTGAGGATCTTGCTCAAATCAAATGGCCTCTTCCCTTGTGTGGGAGAGTTCTAGTGCTGGGCTGCATGGACACCAGCTCTGATAGGGCTGGTCCTGGTTTCAAGGTAAATTCCTACCACCTGCTCCCAGCAGCAGTGCCAACCAAATTTCAGTTGAGGATCTTGCTCAAATCAAATGGTTCCTTGTTTTGTTGTCTTAGGTGGGAAAGAAAAGGTGAAAAGCAGGGAAAGGTCTTGCCCCTTCCTTTATCGTCCAATGCCCCTTTTGAAATGCATTTTCCTGCAGATTACCCGTAAATTCATTCCAGCTGTGAGGTAGGAGTCATGGAATCTCTTTGTGAAGGAGGTTTTATATTCTCGTTTGCCAAGATGCAGATCATACTCTCCACTCCAAGAATGATAGGTGATTACCTGTCAACTTTGATGAGACCTAGTTATAAATGTCACCTTGCCCTTTCTCTTTAAGAAACAGATTTATTCTCTTCTCAGACTTGTCCGTTTTGATTCCGTCTTATGTTCCTAACTTTATATATAATGTAAAACTAGGAACAAAACTAGACACATGTTACTGTAAGATCGACTAGTGAGTTACTAGTTTTCAAACGCTATCTTACCAGGCATATTTTTTACAAAGATTATTACAATAGTGTGCACTGTGTGAATACCCCTGTATTCCATCACATGTGGTAGCTTTTGTTGTTTTTAAATGCATCAGACTATTGCATCGTCTTTTGCTGATGGAGTTCCAAGTGCATTTTAACTATACAGAGAAAAGAGATTGGTTGCATGTAATTCAATGTGAAAACATTATTTGTGAGCAAATGTCAGTTTGCATATTTTTTTATTTTGAAAATTCATTCAAGACCCCAGAAATCTGAAAGTGGTATACATCTGCCACAACCTCCTCCACCCACGAATGAAAGGATGTTGGGAATGATTTATCTTTATTGGTACTGCAAAGCATGTTACATCCATCTTGAACAAACGGAATAATACATAAGAATAAATAAATAAGCTATTTCACTTCATTATTTTTATTCTTAATAAATGCTATGTTCTTGAATGACCAGAATAGGAATTTTTTCATATATATGGGATAGTAATATGGTTGTGTTTAAGTTTAAAATTGGGGAATAGGAATAATTTCCCATGTGACAATTACTCTATATTTTTCCTATGGTTCTAAGATTTGTGTCGTGAATAAAAACTAGGGCTATCAATCAGTTAACTCATACGATTAATACCAGGGCTGTCAATTAACATGTGTTAATGCCTGTGATTAATGCAGGGCAGAATTAACGCGTTAATTTTTTTAACACACGTTAATCGTAGGCGTTTCTGCAGCGCTGCTTCTGTGAAACACCACCAGCTGATGCCAGGCTCTGCTCGCACTGCCCCTTTGAAACCCTCTGTGGCATTTTAAAGGGGAAGCACTTCACGGAGCCTGGGGTCAGGTGGGGATTCCAGCTGATCCTGGGTTCCCACTGCACTGCCCCTTTGAAACACCGCCACAGCATTTCAAAGGGGCAGCACAACACGGAGCTTGGGGTCAGCTGGAGTCTTATAACAGCATGATTAATTGTGAGATTAATCACAATTAATTTTTAATTGCTTGACAGCCTTAATACAAAAAATTCATCACAATCAGGTTTAATCACAATAGAAGGAAGTTTATACATGTTCATATACATTGATTTGAATTACAATATAGAATATAAGTGTAAAGCGCTCCTTTTATATGTATTACTAATATTTGCACAACAAAAATAAAAGAAATAGTATTTTTTAGTTCACCTCATTAGTATGTAATACAATCTCTTTTTATTATGAAAGTGAAAGTTACAAATGTGGGGTTTTTTTTTTTTTTTAAATAACTGCCACCTTTTTTAATTCAATGTCAAACTTTAGTGCCTACAGGTCTACTCAGTTTGCCTTCTTGTTCGGCCACTATGACATACAATTTTGTTTATATTTACAGAAGATAATGGTCCCTGCTTATTAACAGTGTCACCTGAAAGAGAGAACAGATATTCTCATGGCATTTTGTAACCGGCATTTCAAGGTATTTCTGTCAGATGCGCTATACGCTCCTATCCCCCTTAATCCTTTGGCCACCATTCCAGATGACATGTTTCCGTGTTGATGATGCTCATTTAAAAAAATGCATTAATTAAATTGATTGAATACCTTTAGGAGAATCTTTCACCTGCATTCTGGTATCTGTTGCTTGTTTATAGTGGTCTCGGATGATGACCCAGCATGTTCTTTAAGAACACTTTCACTGCATTTATGACAAAACACAAAGAAGGTACTAAAGTGAGATTCCTAATAGCTATGGCACTCAACTCAAGATTTAAAAATCTGAAGTACCTTCCAAAGTTTGAAGGACAAATTATGGAATATGCTTTCAGAAGTTTTAAAAGAGCAACATTTGGATGCAGAAACTACAGAATCTGATTTTAAAAAAAAAAAAAAAGGAGCTTCCTACTGGTGGTATCTGACTCAGATATTGATGAATATGAACATAAGAATGACCATACTGGGTCAGACCAAAGGTCCATCCAGCCCAGTATCCTGTCTGCCAACAGTGGCCAGTGCCAGATGCCCAAGGAACACAAACAGGTAACCCTCACGTGATCTCTCCTCTGTCATCCGCCTCCAGAGAAACAGAGGCTAGGGATACCATTCATACCCATCCTGGCCAATAGCCATTGATGGACCTAACCTCCATGAATCTATCTAGCTCTCTTTTGAACCCTGTTAAAGTTTTAGCCTTTACCACATCATCTGGCAAGGAGTTCTAGGGGTTGACTGTGAGCTGAGTGAGGAAACATTTTCTTTTGTTTGTTTAAACCTGCTGCCTATTAATTTCATTTGGTGATCCCTAGTTCTTTTATTGTGGGAATAAGTATTACTTTTCCTTATTCACTTTTTCCATACCAGTCATGATTTTATAGGCCTCTATCATATTCCCCTCCTTGGACTTTTCGGCTTAGAAAAGAGGAGACTAAGTCTTTTTAATCGTTTTTCATATGGGACCCGTTCCAAACCCCTAATTTTTGTTGCCCTTTTCTGAACCTTTTCCAATGCCAATATATCTTTTTTGAGATGAGGCAACCACATCTGTATTCAGTGTTTAAGATGTGGGCATACCATGGTTTCTTAGAGGCAATATGATATTTTTCTGTCTTACTGTCTGTCTCTTTTTTTACTGACTCCTAACATTGTTTGCTTTTTTTGACTGCCGCTACACACTGTATGGATGTTTTCAGAGAACTGTCCACAATGGCTCCAAGATTTTTCTCTTGAGTAGTTGTACCCAGATTAGTCTCCATCATAGTGTATATATAGTTACGATTAATTTTTTCCAATGTTCATTAATTTACATTTATCAACATTAAATTTCATTTGTCACTTTGTTGCCGAATCACATGTGTTGAGCCACAGTGCTTTGAATTGTTGTTGAGCCAAACCAGTCGTCAGCATGGACGCATATCCTCTGGAATGGTTGTAGAAGCATGAAGAGGCATAAATGTCTTCAATACATCTGGCATGTAAATATCTTCTGGCTACCACAGTGCCATGTGAATGCCTGTTCTCACTTTCAGGTGACATTGTAAACAAGAAGTGGGTAGCATTATCTGCTAGAAATGTAAACAAACTTGTTAGAGCAATTGGATTAACAGAATTGAAGGGACCTGTAAGCGCTGAAGTTTTTAAAAATCTAGTTTTCTACAGTGCAGATGTTTGTAATAAAATATAAAGTGAACACTCTACAGTCTATATTCTGTGTTGTAATTCAAATCTATATTTGAAAAATGTAGAAAACATCCAGGAATATGTAAACAATTTATATTATTAATGCCATGATTAATCACTATTCATTTTTAAATCGCTTGACATCCCTACTAAAAGCCAACACATTGATTTTCTCATGCTAAAGTGGAGAAAGATTAGACAAATATCAGTAAGGATCAAGTTCCAAACAGTATGGCTCTGTCGCAGCAGATATGCTGATTTAGGTTGGAATGTTAGGATCTCTGTAGGTGGGTGGTACACAGGTAGGTATAAAAAACTATTGATGAAACAAAGTTAAACTTGTAATGGGGATAGGAAGTGACTATAAGCCTTCTACTTAGATATCTTTCCTACTTAGATATTTTTCATCCATTACACAGATCAATTTGGGTGCCATTTAAAAAAGTTCTTTGAACCAGGCCCAGCCTTAGGGAAAGGTGAACAAAGCAGTTGCTTTGGTCCCTGTGTTTTGGTCCCTATTCCCACACTGCCCAGCACCCACCCACTCGGCTACTCGCTTGCTGCTCTGGCTGGGAGCTCTCCAGCCACACAGTGCAGCCAACCACAACATGCCACCTTGGGCCCTACAAACTCTTTGGCTGGGCCTGCTCTGTACAGCCATATTTATTCCCTCTGCCAGCCCAGAGAATCCATTTATGGATTTGGGGGGGATTTTGTAACTGGAGAAACCTGCTACTAACTTATCATTTCTTCTTCTTTTTTTCTTCCACACTACAGAAGTACCTACATGGGGTCAGGATCAATGCATGAGGACAGGTGGACTGGTTTAGGGCCAGGGGAGTCCACTTCTTGTCCCTTGTAGGCTTATACGCACACCAGTTAATATTGACCATATTAACATCTTCACTAATCTACTTGGTGCACTGAAACTTCCTCATGTTTGAGCTGTAATTGGCTGGAGATTGCTGGCATCAAGGCTCCACTGGAGATGCAGAATAATTTTAAAGTGCCAGTCTGGGGAACTGAACCCTCTCTTTGCTCTTCTGGAGGGCGAACTACCTTGCCTCTTCCCTTCCTTGAGAGAGCTTTGGTATAATCTTTGTTCTGAAGAACTTTCCAGTCCCTTTTCTGTGTTTTCCCAGAGTGATAGTGTCACTAGCCCAAACTGCCTAGCGCTAGCTCATTATCAGAACAAAAGTTCTCCACCAGCCAGTCTCTGGTCAATCCATCAGACCTACCAAGGAAGATCTTAAGTTACAAAGAAGAACTGGAATATGTAGCATACTTTGCCTGTCTTGGCAGCCATATCACATAGAGGAGACACATAAGTCAAGATTAAGCACAGTATCTGCCATGCCAGCCTTGCCTTTGGCAGACTATCTCCCTGAGTATTCAGCAATCACAACATCAGAAAACACACTTGACTTTTACATTATACTGCGGTGATAATCTCATTTCTTCTCTATGGCCCTAAAACTTGGGTGATGTATAGAAAACACCTGAAAAACCTGGAACACCAGCTCTTCCTTTGGAAGATCCTCAACATGAATTGGGAAGATCGTCACACTAATGTCAATGTCGTTACAGAGGCCAGTATCTTCAGTGTTGAGACCCTGATTATCCAGCATCAGCTGAGGTGGGGCAGGCACTATGTGCACAGGCCAGATATATGCTTACCAAAACAACTGCTGTAAGGCCAACTCACCAAAGACATATGGAAATGGGAAGGCCAAAAGAAACACTTTAAAGACCTCTTCAAGATAAAAATGAAGAGATGTAGCGCTGACATACACTGAGACACACCAAACCCAGACAGAAATAACTGGCAAAGATTTGTCAAAGTGGCAATGTCCACTTTTGAGGAAACCACCTTGTCCTGGTTGCAGAAAAATGCCAGAAAAGAAAGGAAAGACAACTATGCAGCAATTGTGGTCCAACCCTATCTTCCAACACCACCCATGATGTTTGTCTAAAGTGTCTGGCTCAAAAATTGGACTTCTCAGTCACCAAAAGACCCATGCTAAATAAATTTTGTGAAATAAATCATCCTCCGTCTGAAAGGATTGCCAATAATGAGTTCTTATGTAAATAGTAGCCGATAGGCTACAATAGTGCAATATTGTACTTTTTGCTTTCATGTGAATCTACTCTGGGAGTAAATGAAAATTATGAACTCAGATTTCTCAGATCAATAAAGATTTCTCGGATAATAAAGAATATTAATTCTAATGTAATCATTATATATGGTATTATGGACTAGTAAATTGCCTCTTGTACCTTTTCTCCTAATATGGCCAGAAAACAAATACTTGGCATTTTTCCTTTAATTCATAAAGGCTCATTTTAATGAGTGAAAACCCCACTGTATGCCCCACTAAGTTTAGGCAGCTGCTCCCCTAAACTCTGGCAGAGGCTTTTAAACAACCATTTGATATTGAGGAATTTAAAAAAAATAGTGGGCTCAAGTACATCAGTTCATCAAGTTAAAAATGTCTTTTCTCCATTCATTTGAGGCTGAACAACTCCCAAGCCCCAGTTGTCTAGTAGCCATGGTAGGACTGTAATTTGAATCAACAGAGAATGCAATGATGACCAGCATATGCAAAGCTAACGTGGGCATCAGGCCACAGATTCTTTGATTAAAGAACTCTTCCTAATTCAAAATCACACTTCTATGAGAAAACATTATCTTCTATTGTTACCAAGGAAGATAAAAATCACTTAAATTTGATTAATTTATTTCTAAAATTGATAGCCTGGGTTAAATCTTAAATTTACTATACTGTTAAAGTAATTTAAATTAATTTAAAATGTTAAGCAGTAGATATTTGCTGTCAACATTTGAAAGAAAGTTAAGCCAGTGAACTAGTGGAAGTCACTGGCAAAGCACTAGAGTTGGTTGAACCAGCTTTGATAAGCAGTAGCCTTTTCTGCAGAAATAGCGGGGAAAAAATTTTTTTTTTAGTTTATCCTAGTCCAGTTCCTAGCTAACTCATTGTTGGGAAACCAGTTGAAAGCTGAAAAAACAGGAAAGCTTGTTTACCTCTTCCAATCGATGAATGAAAATGAGGTGTGAGAAGTCTATTCAGAAGAATGTGTTGATTAAAAACAAGCAGCTAAACTCACTAATTATGGATATTATTTACTAAACTCAGTTTTTGTTTTAAATTCAAAACATGTTTTGATTAACTTATTTCCCTGTATCCATTGCATGTAAGGAAGTTTTACTTAACTAAAAAAAAAATCTGTTCTTGTGTGTTTTTAATTAAATTCCAATTTCTGTCCAAGTGCATCTTGACACTAATCACAAGCAAAAAAAAATCCTCATCTGATAAATAATTTATGTAATTCAGTGTTTTCTAACAGTTACATTTATTCCATTACAAGTTGCATTTAATTTTGTTAATTTTGTAATTTTTATGAGTATTAAAATAGACATGTATAGATATAGGAAGGGTGTCCTGGTTAGCCAGAAGTACCAAATGTAGTTTAAATAGTATATTTAGTTGCATATTTTGACATGTTTTAATCGTTACCAACCAATGAGTGTCATCCATCATTCATTAGGAACATAGCTTAAAAATACAAATGCAAAACAAGGTTAACCTTTAAATCAAGGTGTCTTGCTTGCCAATTTAAATCATGAGTGATTTAAACCAAAGTGATTTTACTCCACCCAGATTGCTACCACTAACTGGAAGTGAATATAGGTGATTATTGGTGTGTTTACGTTCTTCATTTGGCAGCATTTTGTGTAGAATTGTTCAGAAACTTTCTCTTGTTCTTTGTGTTGATTTTTCACAGGTTAGTGGGGAGAGGGGACCCAAAATCTGGCAGAAAGACCTGCATAGCCATAGTACTTGAATCTACTTTTAATTAAAATTATTATTGTTGATATTGGCTAATTTCAGTTTGATAGTGTCCCTGTAACGTTAAGAAGGATAGCAAACATGAACAGATAAATCTGAATTACCAGTACTGGTGCATAAAACTCAAATTTCTGTTTAAGCATGACTGACAAACGGCAGTTTTTATTTAAAAAAATATCCAAGCCAACATATTGTTGTTAGCATCATTTCTGTTTCTCAGCTTTCCATTTTGTAGTTATATAAACTTGAGCAGCTTTCTAAGTGCTTAGTCTTCAATAATGTATATTGTTATTCACAAATGAAGTGTTTATCATAAGACTGTCAAACTTTGCAGAAAGTAGCACAGAATTTTAATAAAGTTAGTGGTTAAAGCAAAAAATTGTAGGTTTCCTAACAAGCAAAAAGTAAATACTAAAGGTTACCATTTTGGAGGAAAACACTCAGCATAGATTTTGAACACTGATTAGCAATCCGCTTGCAGTAGACTAGGTCAAAATCAATATTTCTGCCTGGAAGTCACACATCCTTTTTGAGAGAAGAGATTAATATGGTTACTGTTGGATTCTGTGTTCTCAATCAGCTAAGTCTGTGCACATGTCATTCATATTTTGTTTTTAGCTTGTTATATTGACAGAAAAATCTGAGTGAAAGTAGAGCCAGTTTGGAAAGTGTAGCTATGTAACATTTACATATTTTCACACTAAGGAAGCTAGGCTTTTAGACTTTGAATATTATTCATTTGCTGATGCTATTTGTTACAGACCTCTGAAATGTGTTACTGACAGTAACTAAACCATCTCACTTTTTGCTTTCTACTCATTGCTAATTTTGTTGACTAAGTGGTGCAAGAAATTCAGAAGGTGTTTTTACTAAAAAGACAGTTTTTGTTTAAATAAACAAAATCAGCCTGTTCTTTCAGTGCATTGAAAGATGGATTTTTTTTTTTACACTTGCATATCAATTTAAAAAACCATGATGTGGGCCTTACAAATCAGACTGAGGTGTCATGCAAATCATTTTAGTTTGTGTTTTTGTGTTCTAAGATCATGCAGATGAGCCCTGTCACATGGCTTCTTACTCAGCTGGTGGGAATATAACCATGATTTTAGAAGGGAGTCAACCAACCAGCTCTAAAAGCAATTACTGGGTACATTGATTTCTTGCATTAATTGGCTGAACCTTTTGGAATGTGAAATCTTTGAAGACAACAACGCCTGAAATATGTTGTGCTTATTGCTGTTTTGATTATTTATTATTTAGCTTTGTGGTAGTATCTACAATTAGCTGGATGATCTCCAAATCTAAAATAAAGTTCCTCTTCCAAGGAAGTCAGTATGAATGACAAAAAAAAAAAAAAAAAGAAAGAAAGAGAGAGAGAGAGAAACTCTTCCCACCTGTCTACCTAGTGATTATATGAAGCTAGCCAGATGATAGGCTTCACAGAATAAGTGACCAGAAGGCAATAGCTTAGCATACTCACTGAGAAAAGGGCCATCTGTGCATGGGCCAGAGTGGAAATACAGAGACTGCTCTGTAGGCTGCAGAGAAATGGGGAAATAGAGCTGGTGCCACTGATGGAATGGAAGGTAAAGTTAACTGAAAAGAGGGAAGATTAGGTAAATAGGCTGAGGTAAAGCTTTTAGAGGATGTGGAAAGAGATGACTAGAAACATGATCTTAACACCGTGGATGAGGAAGAGCTAATAGAGGTGACCTAATCAGATCTGGGGGCAAGGAATAGGATCTTGGCAGATGCATTTTGTATGGACTGTAATGTGTTTGTCAGAGAGGAGGTGCTGTAATCAAGGCAGGAGATAAGGAACAGCTGATGGATTTTGCTGTCTGGACAGAGAAAAGGTCAGTTCTTAGAGATATGGTTGAGGAACAAGTGGCAGGATTTAGACATAAATTGCTCCAGTTTGAGTTTCCAGATGAGGGGGTATATTTACCTTCAAATTTTATACCAAGTTTAAGATTTCCCCTCTATTCACATTAACAAGTCTGTGATTAGCCTTTTACATGCCTAGATTGTAAGCTGTTTGGGAGAGCAACCGTCTTGTGTCTTGTCAATACTGTGCCTACTGCAGTTTTCTCTGGTTCTTAATTTAGGATGCTATTATGATATAAATAACAACCACGCAGGCTCCTCCTCAGAGAAGCAGCTACATCTGCTGAAGGTATTTGCACATCATTATTAGGGTGGAGCTGGAGTGGCAAAACGTACTGCTCTTCCAAGTAGCATATAAGAATCTTCAGCGGTTCGAAAGCTGAACTGTGCCTACTGGGGCTCAGGGCTTCAGCCCCATTGGCACAACTGCCTGGGCTTCAGCCCCACTCCTACTGAAGCCCTGAACCACAATATATGCACTGAGCTGGAGAGAAGCCCCAAGAACCCCCACTCCACTGGGGAGAAGTCCTTACCTTCTGCAAGCCAGAGATCATTGGCTCTCTCCTAGTCCGGTATGTGGAGAATGAGAGGATATTGGTTGGGGGTGGGAGGGGAGGCTCTGCAAGCCACATTTAATGGTAAAGCAGCCACATGTGGCTCTCAAGCCACAATTTGGCCACCCCCTAGGATAGAACAAAGACATATTTGTCAAACCTGGTCTTCACTATGGCCAAAGGATGTATGAGAATCCTTCCAAGATCTCTACTTATTGCATCAGGGTTTGTGTAAAGAAAACTGTCAGGACTGGACAATGGCATTTTTATGACATTCTGTTTGAGATGATTTGTTGTAAGGTGTCCAAATCCTTAATTTAAGATCTCTGAAATATAGTTACCTGGAAATCTCATCATACTCCCCTCTGGTGCTGCAAGTTGAATCTTCTTTTTATGCATCTGCCAAAGGAGCATGAGCAGGCTTCAAGGGTGTATCTTACACACTGATTTTAAAAACTTGCAGCACTGAGTCTCAGAGCCCAGGTCAGCTGAGTCAGGTTCACAGTGCTCAGGCTGTTGGGCTAAAAATAAGAGTCTAGATTGTCTAGGCTCCATCTGGAGTTGGATGCTCTATGCTGCAGTGTTATAGCCCTGCAGCACAAGTCATCTCACTTTGGCCAGCCATGACCAGGGTACAGTTCTTTTACTACAGTGTAGACACACCTTAAATGAGTCTGTAGAGGAGAGAACACCCGCCTTGTTACTGCCTGGCAACATGTGCATAATGTAATTTACTTCTGGATGAGGCAAAAGGAGGTAAAGAGGAGTGATGTACAGTAGGGACAAGCTACATTAGTAATTCAGCTTGTGGAGGCCAGTTTTTCTTCCCCTGTCCAATTCATCATATTCCTCTTCTACTTTTTAAATAGGATGGTTACATTAGTGCATATGGCAGAAGAAA